GTTTGTTCAACGTTTCTGACGTTATTAAAGACCCTGAGGGGAGGGTTCAGCACTGAGACTGGGTTCCTCGGGCCCGTCCTGCCCTTCCCTCCGTGGCTGCTTCATCCCTTTCTGAAGCGTAGTCGCTGAACGGTGGCGAGGTTTCCTGCCCCAGGGCTCGCTTCCATGGGTGTGATGCTAAAACTCAGAAGCAAAGCAAGCCTCCCTGCATCTCATCCTCTTCCCTTTTTCCTCTCTGCGGTCGCCGTTTGCCTGCGCTTCGCATTTCACGGCACCAACATGCACCTTCCCCATCTCCTGCGGCATTGCTGCTTGTCTGCTCGCCTTGTCGCCCGATTGAGTTGTTGTGGGTGGAATTCTGAACTCTCCCTGCGCCTGCCCAGACCCCGAGGCTGGTTCTGTGCAATCCCGCGTGCGGATCGGTCCTGTCCGGGGAACGACCGGCTGAGGGAGGTGGGGCTGGTGAAAGGTCTGTGAAATGGGGCAGCTGAGGGGGGCACAGCCAGCACTGATCTGGAGATGGATCACTCCTGGAATTGTCTCAAAAATTATCTTTGAGGCTGGTTTTGCTTAATACTTTCAGATTTTGTTTTCAGGACAGAAAAAAAAACCAGCACAGTTAAAAAAAGTTGCAAGATAATGTGATTACACCAGGAGGGTGGGAATGCCCCGGAGGGGCTGGAGATCCTGCAGATGTGAAGTAGAACTGAGGGAAATGTGGTAACGTGGGCGCGTGGTCCGAGCTCTCGTGGGCCTTCCTGTGGTGCGGAGGGACAGGTCACACAGTGCAGGGGACAGGCCTTTAAGTGCCAGCGGGCGCCAGGATTTGGGGTGTCTGTGCTGCGCGGGGTGTTGGTGACGCAGGAGCTCGCCCGTCGGAGCTGCTGTGAGCACTGCGGTGGGTTCTCGCTGCTGAAAGCTGCCATGGGTGCGGGTGTGCTCCCCGCGAGTCGCCTCGCCACAGGGGAGGGGCCCTGCTTGGTCACGCGTTGGGGACAGCAGGAGGTCTAACCGTGCTTTGCTTTCTGCACAGTCGGAGAGCGCGAGGACAGAGGGCACGTTCCAGGTCACCATGCTGCCCGGGGACGGCGTGGGGCCGGAG